GAGAGAGAGAGAGAAGTAACAAATTTCACTATTATTTAGAGCCAGGATGGAAGTTATTTTTGTAATTTTAATACATGTACAAATATCAAGTATATGTAAATATTATATTAAAATATAAATATTTCAACAATGAATCTCAAATAAAAAAAACTGTATGTTATTTTTTACAAAATTTGAAAGTCAAATTTATAGTAGAGATAAATTAAAATTAAAATATTTTTCAATTTAATATTAAATAATTTTGATCAATATAAAAATTGATTTCAATAAATTAATCAAAGAAATCTGTAATTTAAGATAAATATAATATTAATATTATATTATTTTGATAGCTTTTATATATATTATATAAATATGTAAATTAATATATAAAATATACAATAATATTTTATATAATATATATTTTAATAATATCTTTCACATGTTCTATCTTTATATAATAATAATAATTCATATATTTATATAATATATTTTTAATTTTATTATTTTACTATTTTACTATTTTATTATTTTACTATTTCTTTATATTTTTTGATATTTATTTGGCATTTGAAAAAGAAACAAAATTTCTTGACAAATTGCTGCACATTTTATGGTAAGAAGTACGTTCATCCTCTTGTTAGTAATATAACCATGCCACGAATCGAATCACAAGAAATATATACGGACTATGGAAAGCTTTTTCCTCGTTTTCAATTACAAGTTTAACCAACCGTTCTCTTCTTCCTTCCCTCCTCTCCTCTTTTCTCTCCTCCTCCCCCTCCTTCCTTCCTGTATGTGGCGCTCGCGTAGCGCATATACACATACATAGCGCACACGTACCTAATATTTGATGAGCGACCTGTGCTACATACAAAGTTCATTTGACCAAACCAACTGATTTATATAGAAGATGCGCGAAATAATTGCTGAAACTATCAACGAATATATGGGGAGAGGGGTTTGCTCGGTAATTTTCGTTAATGAAAATTTAATGCCCCCTATCTTTGTGCTTAAAGCACAGCTAGAACTGTATTCATAAGGTTATCATGAAAGCAATGTATGATATATATGTATGATATATTTTGTGGCAGTTAGATTGCCAGCAATTAACCAATCTTACCATAGATAGTCAAAGATAACACATTATGTGCACCATGAATTTCAAATTTTTCTCTACACAATAATATAAACTGTCCTTATATTTATAATTACATTATTGAATTTTAAAAGATCTTTCACTTTTCAAGAAACTCATTATGTTTATTTTTAATTCCACTTTTATTTTATAAAGTATATTTATTTTACGTATATCATCACTTTATTTTGTGCCACATAATTAGGCTTGTAATCATACTCACTGATAAAATGAAATTTCTGTATATTTTAAATATTTCTACACTGATCAGTACGCACACGCGCGTACGCATGTGTGTATTGTAATATAAATAAAATAATATGCATAAGATCAAAACATATCAATAGTGTATATTTCAAAATGTCAATATGTTTTAAAAATTAAATTATTTATATTTTTATATTTTATCAATTGTTAACATTTATAATATCTATTTTTATCTATTAAATTTCTTAGATTGAATAATTCCAATTCCTTTTCCGATTAAAAGTTATGCTACTGATATAATTATGATAATATGATTCTTATGATATGTTAATCAATTAGATTTTGCAAACTTTAAATCTTCTAGCTGCTGAGAAAAAGCTGCTTTTTTTAAAGGAAATTCTTTATATTACTTGCATTTTCTGTATCTCGTTCCTTGCTTATTTTGCTGATCTTTTTCTGGAAGGTAGATTCCATTTCTTCGATGTGATAGTATTCCGTCCTTTCCAACGCAACCAGTTTCAATTTATCTGGCAAGAGTCCCCGATTGCTACTGTTTTTGCTCTAGACGAGCATTTCCGGTGGAGTCGAATCAAGCTAGGCCAAGAAAAATGGCTGCCACGTCGGGCAGAAGGAAGTCTCTAGAGACCAAGTAGCTGCGAGACAGGATCAAAAATTAAAGTTTCGACAGATAAATAGGATTTTACAAAATAAAAGATTATTCATAAAATAAATAATATACTAATTTTAAACATATATCTCATAAAGGAAATTTTTATAATTAAAGATAGATTTTTTAGAAAAATATAAATTCTTGATAAATGTATATAAAGATAACTTATATTGAGGTAGTTTATTTAATTTTAATTTGATATTTAATCTCGGAAGAAAAGGAATGGAAAATGAAGATATCAAAGATGGACATACTTGTCAATATTAAGATAAAAAATAAAAAGATTAAAAAATATGGAAGTATTTTAATTATATTTTAATTCTGAAACTTAAATCAAATATTATCTAAAATATCTAAAAAATATCAAGTATCTAAAATATCTTTTATTGAATTTTGCATCAGATCAATCAGACTAAATATCAATAAAGAGAAATTCAATAAGAACTTATAAATTAACTTGAACTCTGAGATATCAGCTTAAATATGTATTTTGCTATTGTTGTCCAATATTAACTATTATATGAGAAAATATCTTGTATTTAAGAAAAATATTGAACTTTGACATATTATTAAAACACATAAAAAGTATCTACATTATCTATATTAATACTTTGTTACTATGTAAAAAAGAAACGTGAATTTTATTAGCATTACATTACTATCTACATATCTTACATATAATTTAAATTTTGTTTCAATATATATATATATATATATATATATATATATATATATATACGAGGATGTTCCAATAATACATCACTTACGTGCAAGTAGAGCGAGTGAAACTGAGCGGAATAATCTTCTATTATTTTGTGATTTTATGCCTCCAAGTGTATAAATTTACTTTAGATAATATAAAATATCACAGATAATCAATGTATTTGCGTAGATATTTTACTAAAGTGACAAGAAGAAATCACTTAATAACATAAATGTATTTATGGTAAAAAACAGAATTTGTTTATTGCTTATTTTATGCAAATGTATCAAAGAAATTGCAACTCAGTCGCGAAGAGCACAGCGAATGCATTAAATAATTTATAGTAACTTTCAACTAAAAATAATATAACAACAGTAACATACAGTAAGATACGTATCTAATGATAATTATTGTATAATATTTCATATGCTAGCACTTTTGTAAAAAGTTATCTATCTATTTAATAGAGTAAAGTCGATAACTTTCTATTCATTATGCCCCACTATATTTCCCCTATATAGAATAATCGAATAAATTATTCTAGGTTGAAAATATATGTAAGCAATACTATGAAGTGATAATAATATAATAATGATATAACATGATATAAATAAATGCCAGAAATAAATGTTTTTTCATACTTCTATACTATTACATTTGTTGAATATTCTTACGACATATAAATGAAGCTGATAATTTAGTATTTTTCTTTTATTTTTTTCATATTTATAATCGTATAAAATTTCTTATTTCAATACTATCTCTTTGACTCTGTTTTTACAATTCTAATAGATAATTATCATATACAATTTTAATTTCTTTATATTTTAAAAATGTATTTACGTTTATATAAAGCATACATTTGTGATTTTTTAGTGGTCAAAGGTACAATCTGCCAAATTCTCAATTTTGGAACATCAAATGGATCCGAGCAGCAATTTCAGTAGCTACCGCAGCACATTGAAGGCCGCAATGTGGCGTAGCGCTGGCGCTACAGATGAACGCCAACGGATCGTAGTACCTTTCTTTAGTCTTCTCGTAAAGGACCTATACTTTCTCAATGAAGGTTGCAGCAATAAGTAAGTAATGTCAAATATATTGACGATTTATTGATATAATTTTACATTGATATAATTACACACACACACACACACACACACACACACACACACAC